GCGGGAGCTAGTGATCAAATTTGGGAAGGTATGGTAAACCAAACACCAAAGCCGAGGTCAAAGAGAACGTAATACAAGAAATGACAAATAACGAGACTGGGAGGGATTGACAGTACGAATCCAAGAGTCAACCAACAAATAAGACTAGAATTTGCAGGCAAAATGGATGAAAGTAAAGGCGCTGCATCTGCACACACTCAGCAGTCAAAACAAACCGAGAGTGCAAATAGAAGCAAGTACTTATGATCTGGTAGCTATTACACTGACATGGCTGCAGGATGTCTTGGAGTGGAACCTGAATTTTGACAGTTACAGGTCTTATAAGAAATGACAGGGATGTAGGATACGATGGAGGGGTAGCTCTGTTAGTTAATGATGGTATTTATAGAATAGAGAGAGGGATAACAAGCTCAGGAAACCAAGATCGGGTAGAAATGAGGAAAGATAAAGGCAAGTCGTGGGAATAGTACGCAGACATCCCTTACAAAAACTACATGAGTGTATGAAATAAAGTCAGAAATAACGACAGCTTGACAGAAAGGCACAAGAATAATCATTGGAGATGATAATCTACATATCAGATGGGCAAACACAGCCTAGATGTGGAAATTTTTGGGACAGTTTCTCAGAACAGCATGTTCTGCAGCTAACCATAAAGCAAACTATACTAGATCTTGTACTGTGCGACGTGAAAGGACTAATCAATTATCTCAGTGAAGGCACTCCTAGGGAACAGTAACATAACATGATTACATTTTACATTCAGCATGAGGAAGAGAAGTGTAGTTCCGAAAGCTTTGTTAAAATTTAAGAACTATAACGCAGAGCTGGCTAAAGTGAATTGGCAAGTTAAAGACTAGGTCAATTAGGATGCAGTGGCAGACATTTAAGGTAATAATTGAGAATATACAGAATAAATTCATTCCAAGTAGGCAAAGTTTCAAATGTTAGACCAACCATCCACAATTAACTTGAAATACGAAGCATAGCATAAAACTTCGAGAAGCAGGTCAAACAGCACCGGTCACTGGACTTAAAATATAAAACTGTTTTCTATCCAAAGCTGCTGCCAGACAAGCGGAGTTTCCTCAGCCATTTGTTTTTGTAAAGGAATACTCCCCACTTGCCCAAACGTTGCCCCATGCACTCACTGACCCTTGCCCCATTTTCATTCTCCCACCTCAGACCCGCAATCTCCCGCAGTTTTGTCTATGCATTCCCCCTTCTGCTGCTTCACTCTGCCCATCCTGCCTCCCACACTCCTCACTTCCCAATATCATGCATCTCCAACCTCATACTCTCTGCACCCTCCTTCACTGATGCACGTT